CCACGAAAACAATACAAACAGATGCTGTATTATTCTACAAAATTTCCATTCTGGTTTGCTTGTGGACTATAAATTTTGTAGCAACAAATGTTAAGGGTAAGCAAAGATGATGACAAAGACATCTTCTGGATTATATTCTCAATTACAAGCTGATGGGGACCAAAATCCACTAGCCACAGAGGCTACACAAATGTGGCAGCAATGAAGGCTGAATTGTAAACCCCCAAATGTAGCTGATCCATTTGCCCAGGGCTCTATCTTAAGACTCAATTTGTGATTAAATTTGTGCTTAAATTTGCAAATAGTTATTTCATTCTTTCATTCTTTTTTCACTGAACCCATAAGATAATTATTAAAATGATAAATTTGAATAATTAATGAAAGATGAATCTGGAAACAGTACCTCTACTCATTGTACATTAAAACCATTAAGAGATTCACAGATTTGCGTTTTGTTTTAAAAAGAAGTTTCATTTCATTTACAGATTTGCATATTGTTTTAAAAAGAACCTTCATATTATTTGTGATAACTACTCCTGAAACCAGGTAGGCACACCATCATTATGTTTTCTGAACAATTTAAATATTGCAAAGATACTATCCATTTTTATTTTCGCCATGTTTAGCATTTCATCTATATCTATTTTGAACCCAAGATGAGAGAAAAGAAAGAGCAGAGAAATATTATGAAAACATCAAACATCTGTCTCAAATTCCATTACAAAACTACCAAAGAAATAAATATCTCCTGGGAATTTAAAAATGTCTAATGATTATTTTTTAAAAATTATGTCAAGCAACAATTCTTTTCATTTTACTATAATAAAGGAAGATTGACCTAGTACTTCTATTAGATAACTTCTGTCTAAATTATCTAAAAACTACATGTTATGTCCACATCTACCATTCTGAAAGTTATTTCATATAAAAAACAAGTGGATTCTTTTCATTCTTGGTCCTCTGTGAAGCATAAGTGTACCTAGTAAAAATACTATGGACACCAAATAGATGCGAGCGATATCAAAGTGAAAGTCACTTATTTGGTACCTTGTTCCATCCGCTGGCACGAGCAGCTGTCTCTTGTGTGCGCTCTCGATATTCTTGATACGTCACCGGCCTGCAGAAGTTAAACCAACACTGAAAGTTATAAAAGGAAACAAAAGAACATGAATAAAATAAAATTCACAGTTTCCAGAGAACAAAATATTTTCACATGTATTACAGCAAATATTTTTCAAGACATTTAAAGAAATTTTAAAATCTTTTTAAAGACATTTCAGGACATAAAACACCAGTACCATACAGGGTCAGGAAGGCATCACCTTCTCCCAGCTACACAATTTCATATAATTGGTTAAGTAAATTTCATAATAATTTGATACTCTACAACTTAAAGGACATTAGATAAGTAGGTTCTCTGATATGCTACTAGAACATCTAAGCTCTTGCATATGATTTTTTATAATTTAAGACTTGAAAGATAAAAAATTCCACTAAGAAATTAATATGCAAGATAGAGGCCAATGCAGAGTGAAATGTTTATAAACAATATAGACTATGAACCAGGCTGCTTGACTGCACCAACATTATGTTAGAGTTGAAACCTTTATTTGCAAGAAACAGCACTTTTGATCACAAAACCCCCTTCCTACTTCAGTAGATATCTCTATTTCAGATTTACCAAATCTCTGCTTCTCTGAATTTGGATGATGACATTCCTCTCTTCCATACCCTTTCCTCCAAGATGATATTGTATCTTAGAGTCAGTAACAATAATGACTTTATGCCAAGTGACAGCACAAGATGTACTGCTTCAAAAGCAGTTGTCCTGAGTCAGATCATGCCAAAAGGCAAGTTCAGACTTTAGTTTAAGGGAAATAGTTGTAACTGACATTGGACACATGTTTACATGCATATAAGAGTACAGGAAAATATAAGCAAAATTAAATAAATATTGCATCAAATAGCACTACATAGCAAACATGGATAAAAAAACAGAGTTAAAGCACACTGGGGAAAACAATTTGGGTTTGTTATTTTAAGTACATTCTCTTAACTTCCTTGGTACACTAGTTCCTTTAAAACGCAAATCCAAATGAATCAGTGGGATGAGAAGAGCAACAACAGCTGCAGGAAGGATATTATCAAGAGATTAAACAGGAGCTCTCATTTGCCTTATAAATGGCACTGCATGTCAACACATTTTCACGGGCATTTCAGACTTTATATGTATGTATGCATGTATGTATATAAATAATAATAATTTTAAAAAATCTTAGAATGCAAATATTTCCCCACAGAAAACACAAGAAGTCGAGGACATCAGGCTACTAACAAACTTAAGAATCGCTTCATTTTCAAAGACCTCATCTCAGGAACTTTCCAAGAAGAATCAACCTAGAGTGCACCAGTTATGACCCCTCAATGTCAGACGATCATCCAGAGATCTACAACCTTTAAGATGTTTCAACTTAGAATGCTGTTATTTCAATTTACCATTTTAGACACACAAAAAGGATGGGTTGCAAGGCTTACTTCTAATTTTCCAACTTGTTGCCAGTCTGGTTTTTTAGTGTGTAGTGAGGTATTTATCAAAACTTCAGCTCTTTAGAAGCTATTAAGTACAGGTGTTTAAGGCCACATGGGACAAATGCCTGGCTTGTAAAGGCAGATGAGCTTCTGCCATTTCTGTTGGAACACACTGGCATATCCTTTGCCACTTAGGACAAACTACTACCCCACATGTTCTTTTATGTGGGTAAATGATTGCCAGTTTACACAACACTGAACTTACTTTTCGACCCTATAGAAACTGCATATAGAAGCAGATAATATTACTAGTTTCTGAAAGTTAAATGGTGAGTTGAGAGAGCGTACTTTTCCCTTGTATGACTTCTGGAAAAAGAGACAACCATCTTCAGCTGTCTGGTCAGATGTTACACGGCACCTTTGCTGTGAAATCCAGGTCAGAGTCATAGAATCATAGGATGATTTGGGTTAGAAGGGACCTTTAAAGATCATGGGCAGGGGCATCTTTCACTACATCAGGTTGCCTAAAGCCCTGTCCTCCCCAACTCTGAATAGTCAGTTTTAACTTATATTGGTCATAAAAAGTCAACACTTACTTGTTGACTAGGGAGCTATTTAAGGAATAGATGGGCTGGTTAAGGAATCACAGAATGTGGAAGGCACCGCTGGAGAACAAACATCCTGTCCAACCTCCCTCCTCAAGAGGGTCTCCTATAGCAGACTTCCCAGGACCATACCAAGACAGCTTTTAAATATCTCCAAGCATGGAGACTCCACAGCCCCTCTGGGCAACCTGTGCCAGTGCTCAGTCACCCTCACAGTAAAAAGGTCTTTCCTGATGTTCAGATGGAATGACCTCCAAATTCGTAAACTTCCAGAAGTCTGCGATAAAGGGTATTACCTTACTGAGGGCAGGAGGTAGCTCTCCAGTCCATGTATGGAAGGCTTAAGTCTCATGAATCAGAAAGTTTACGCTATGTACTGATATGTAGCCTTCCAGTACCTTGTTTAAACAGTTCATCAACAGCTACGCAAACTCAAGAGTAGTACTAGAGCTTCTCAGCTTCTTTTGAGCCATATTATTTAAACTAATCCACAAAACATAGACTCACACAGCTATTTGCTAATGCTGCCTTCACAACTGCATTTCTCTAACTGTCCCTAAAGTAGAGCCTTCCAACTTCAGCTCTCTACAAACACTTTTTGGAGGTCACTCAGAACAGCCATGTTCAGTAGTCATGTTGATACATTAAAATCGGGCTGGTAATTTATAACAGAAAAAGAAGCAACCACAACAATTTTACCAATTTGCCAACTACATTAATCGAGCTACTAACACGCCAAGTACAATGCACTATTTAAACAATAAGCTTAAACTGGAATGACAGCTCTTAAAGCACCAAAAGTAGCCCAGGGTCCACATTTTCTTCAGACATGCCTGAATGGTGGTCATAACACATCGTCCTTCCAGGGAAACTCTCCCACTCATCTTAAGCCAGGCTATCAAAAAACCTTCAGCTTCACTCTTAGCTATAAGTAAAATAAATTAATCCGGCTACAGCCCAGCATTCATGAAATCGGCAATTGCAATGGGTAGCTGCTAGTTTCTTCAGCAACACAAACTACTCCTATCAGTCTCAGAAGTTGAATGATAAAAGCTTTGAAAATTTTTAGAACTTACATTACTGCAAAAATACCACAAAGTATTTGCACATTACAATGCAAACAAACCAAAAGAAAAAAAAAAACCCAGCCAGATAAAGGAACACTGAAAAAGAAAAAAATGCAATACAAAATGTAGTCCCATCTTTAGCATTTCAGCAGCAGTCACACTGCAAAAGGAACACCTTCCCTTTGAAAAAACAAATGGAAACTCACTTGCTAAGCAAGCTCTGCAGTGCTTTGTGCAGATGTTCTTTCAATTCCTGGGACACTTTCTCCCCCAAATGAGCCAGGCAGTCTTCTATAGAGCTCTCTGGATTGGCAGGACTGAACACTGGGGAAGTGTGGCAGTCAAATCCTGTAGTGGTAAATGCTGAGAGAAAAAAGCATACAAAATAAAATAGATTCATATAAGAACATCAACAGTTTCAGATCTCTTATCCCACCACTTAACACAGTTTACATAATAGACAAAAAACCACAACTCTATTGTCAAAGCAAGGTATGAACAAATTGTAGTAAAACAAGTATGGTCCACATATAGTCTGGAAATGGTGCTTACTACCCATAGATCACTTTGAGATGCATTTCCTCTCCAATCCTAGCCCACAAGTTATCTGAATGTGCAACTATTCTCAGTTTTAAGCTGATGCTGACCCTGATGGAGCAGTGAGAGAGCCTCTTTTCCACGGTAAAATTTGCCCACAAGGACATATCTGCAGGAGCACTAGAGTATCATAAAAAAAAAAAAAAGTTTATATAACCTTTTCCTCTCAGTTTAAAACTTATAAGAAAGGGCTATATGGATGAACGTAAACAGATCTAGAGCCTTTCTACTTCACATGTCCAATTCGCAACACACATGCAAAGCAAAGATTGTTCCAAATCATTCCTTGCTGGGAGTCCTACAAAAGCCACATCTACAGGTGAAAGCATGTCACAAAAAATAAACCTGGTGGAAGTGAGAAATCTGATGGTTTAAGTCCACACTCTCCTGAATGTTACCTGTTGAAGAATGATTTCACTTGTGTCATCAACTGGAGCAGCTTAAGAGCTGCTTACATTTCATTATTTAGAGTAGCCTATTAAATGTCATTCAATTGTTTGCTTTGGCTGGACTCCACCACTCCAAACAGTAACTTCACATGACAACGTGTAGAAATCTTGTGGGGGGAGGAGGGTTTAAAGATTCAATGCATCCAAATATCTCTTTAACTAGAGTACCTGTTACAAAGTAACTACCATTATACAGCATAGAGATTATTGATTGAAATGGGAAAATCAGAAGAACACCTTCCAAGATTTCTTCATCAAGACGTTTTAGCTCCTCCTCGATTTCTGTTTTAATCTTCTCTAAAGCCTCTTTCTCTGAAGCATTTTGTACCATAGGCTGTTGTTGAGTCCCTAAAAGAAACCAAAGAAATTACTCAAACGTAGTACTTCAAATAAGGTAGACAATGGAACATTATGTTGAAATATTAGCTATAAAGGAATTCAAGGTGAAAGTTCTATTTCAGACAGCAATGTAAAAAGTATGATCCCTTAAAGGCACTTATTACAAAAAGTTTTATTATATGAACCCAGAATAGGTGCTTTAAATATGAATATATTAACAAAATAGAAGTGTACAGCCACAAACAGAATATATAACAGCTTTAAAAACAATCTTAAATTTAAGACCAAAATCAAACCATGGCATGTTAAGCAGTCATTAAAACTAATATACTGATTATCGAACTACATCAAAACAAAGCAGACAGAGGCATAAGCCTGATTTTTAGTAGCAAAATATAAGATTGATATTGATGCCTGCAAAATCTACAAAAATATTCAGAGCAAATAATTACATCAATGAAAAGTCCTGACATCTAATAACTGTGCATCATTTCACTTTTCATGAGGAGTCTAAAGGCCGCAATGAAATAACTTAAGACTGGGTTCACAAGTAACAGCAGAGGCAAAAGACTCCACAGTTGCCAGTTAATTGTCAATTCTCATCTCCTAATAAAGTCATTTAAGAATCTGAAATGGATGCATATCCACAGAAGTGCACACGCCACCACGAATACATATTGCATGTGCTGATTTTAGATACTTGGTAACAAGAAGTTGTTTCAGCCATATCATTCAGGATTACATAGACACTCAATCACCTTAATTATTATGCTGTAGCAAAAGAGAGACACAAAACTGTTTGCAAACAAACAAAGGTATTTAAAACATTTGAATCTTTAAGGAACTGCCTACTGAATGTCAGCCTTTTCAATATAAGGCTGTATGGCAAGGTAACTACTCAAGTAACTGCTTCACAGAATGGGTACTAATGGAAAGACTAGATGTCTGGGACAGAGTTCCAACTCAAAACTCTTGCTATTTAGATGCTTTTTCTTTGGGTTTGTTCATCTTTATTTCTTCCATCAGCTTTCAAGCATGTCTTCAAACCCCATTCTTAAAGCACACTACAAAAACTGTTTGATTAACTGCTGTCTTATTTTCACCAAACATCACTGAATCCATAGCTTACCACTAAAATTTTCTTCTTTCTTTCTTTCTTTAATTTCCTTAAAATAGCCTCCTTAGAGATAAAATGGATCTTTATTATGCCCACACAAATATAAAAGTGAATTTTGTATCAACTTACTCCTGAAATAAGTAAACAAATAAAATTGAGCACAAAACTTCCCTTTCCTAAGTAAACCCCAGCCATTTCCTTCCCTAAGATTTGGGTCAATTATCAGTCCTCATTAGCCCTGCACTCTGCTATTTTCAATGGTATCAGTGACTGAGTTAGTTACCCAAAACACATTTTCTTAGCTCTCTTACTTCTAAATATCCCTTAGAATTAATTTTTGGGATTTCATGTTCTCTCGTGCTGATGATTTAACCACCACCTCCTGGCCGACCTCCTGGTAACATTGCCCATATCCATTGTTTCTTACTCATGCACCCAAATACTGATGACTCTCCAACCTATCTCACCCTTCCTGCACTTACACCAACTGCCTACAGCTCTACCGGGGCATCTAGACATTGTTCCACTCTACAGACATTCTTCACTCAGTTGAAGAAAATAAAAAGGGAAAGGATTTCTATCTGCAATGCTGGTATCGTCTGACTTCATTTCTTTCTTATCACTTATATTTCACATCCAAATTGCCAGGTATGTCCTGCAACACCCAGTGTAGCTGTCTGGCATCTCTATCTTCATTCTTGTTTTGAAGACACTAAATCATAATTTCATGATCTTATGAACAACTGCCTTTTTTTTTTTTTTTTGGTTCATCTCTATTTAAATCTACTTGAACTCACTTTAAGTGTTGTATCACCTTCCCCTTTCCTCCATAACGGACACACAATATCACTAGTTTTCATGGAGTGTGTGGAAACCGTAAAAGCAACAATAGTAGTTATACACGCAGCTGTGTAGTAAAGTACACTGTGCATTTTCTGTATTTAAAAAAAACTCTAGACAATAAGCTTGCAAGGTCTCCTACAATTGAAAACTAAGTTTAAAATCCACAGGATCAACCCATAGAAGGTGTGTTAATGCTAAAAAATGCAGCATTCAATAGATACCTGTAAGACAAAACCTTTCTAAATCAATGTACAAGTCAATGTAAAATGTTTACATTTATTTATGTGAATAGTTTAAAGGAACAGCAGATAAGTCAATTTAATTTCATTTTACTTAACCACACAGATCATCATCACCATGTTCAGAATAAATTTATTCAGCTTCTTAAAGCCCTTCTCAGTCTCTCCTTGCCACTTTGAACACTAAATTCCAGAGGGGAGCAAACTGTTCCTCCTTTTGGTTAATGAGCAAACACTCACTAATGCCTTGTCAGTCCCTTTAAGGCTGCCTCTTGGAATGACCAAACCACTGCTTCACAGTCAAGCGCAACAAGTATATGCAAGTACAAACTTATTTTAACCTGTGCCACCCTATATACGGAAGGCATGAGGGTATTCAGAAGAGCACCCGTTCTCACGGGACTAATGTGATGATGATCACACATGACAAGCTGTCATACTTGATAATAAGTCACCCGGAAAATGGAAGGAAGAGAAATTCCATTGGTGCCACTGTACAAAAGAGCTGTTTAGATAATCAGTGCTGCAGTCAATGGTTTCCATCTCATAACACCCACAACTTCACAGCAGCTGCTGATTCCAATAGCACCTGACTATTCAGTTGTGCCAAAACATCAAAAACCTACCCCTCCCAGACCAGTGACTTTGCACTGTTTATTCCCCTAATTATCAATGGATTTCAGCTTTCTGCATCTCCTGTATACTGACCACTACCAACAAAAATTGCACCCAGTGTTGGAGGACAGTGTATTCCTACAGCAAAGGTCCTAAATGAGCGCTATCTTTTTCTCCTTTAGACAACTTCCAAGTCTGGTTGCAAACAGGTAGAATAAACCAGTAAAAATAGCTTCTAGTAGATGAGAACACATTTTCATTGTTTAATAATGCGAATGGTCATACCAGAAATTGTACTTGTAAGATCCATACAAACATTGGATGCTTTCTTATGCTGAAAAAACAGGTTTGCCTCTTCCCAACCCAAAGACAGAACAAACCTCTGTTACACAGTCTTACACAAAGAAGTTAGTGCATTCTACTTTCTGTTTATTTAAATGTTCTCTTCTGCACAAGTGTGTTCCTGTTAAGATTTTGTTTTACAGGTATTTGGAGGCAACCTGCAAAGCAGAGGAAAATTTATTTTAAAAGTCCATCAAGCACCGCATCACTGACAATCACATAGTGTTATGACTACTAAATAAATGTAATACTTCAGTAAAACTCCACTGATAAGGCTGTTCCAGAAGTTTAGTAACAATACAAGACTAACCCATTCCCCACGTTTGATCCCAGGAGAAGGGATGGGAAGTCAGGCATCAGAGCTAGAGAGCCTGCACATCTGATTCTACAGTGTTTGTGTCAAATCATTGCTAACGTGAGACAACAGCAACTATGAGAGACTGAAAAAGTGTTATGCCTTTTTAGTTCAAGTGAATTCAGGGTCAATGAAAAAGAAAGCCTTTGATGTCACAGATTATAGTCAACATCTACTTTCAACATGACTCTAGTACTTCTTCAACATATCAGACTTTCTAAGACAATAAGTAAGCATCTAAAATGTTCTGCAGTCACTCAGAAGTGAAAAAATAGAAGAAATATCTTTACAAACATATTCATCTGTTTCCTTTAATGAAAAGTATATCCATCACCCCAGCAAACTCCAAAACACAGACTGCCATACATAGATGTAGTCCTTGATTTGAGAAATGTTTAAAAGAAGGTATTTATAAAGCATAAGAAGGCTCAGTTTAAAAGAAACTAAAAGAGTCCAAAATATTAAGAACTAAAAAGAGACAAGACATTGCCAACTAGCAGTCAGGTTTTTTTGTGGGCAGAGAGGAGCCTTAATTAAGTGTGAACTCACATTCCTGAAGGGACAACCTCTCTCTTCTCTAAGTCACACCCCAAAAACTGCCTGTGCTTGCCTCGGTTCAGGAAATAGCTCCCTCCTTACCATGAACTGGATTGGTCTGACCTACAAGATGTACCTTTTCAGCCCAAGTAATTATGTTTTGCCCTAAGAGGAAAGTTTCTAAGGAATGAGTTACTAATCCAAGCTAAAACCACCTCAAAAGCTTTCATTTCCTACAGACCAACAGGAGGTACTATGAAGGGTAAATGAAGATACAGGGATGGAGTATACTCTGCAACAGCAACTCCAAGTGTCACCTGATGACAGAAAATCTTGCAACAACAGGTATCCAATCCATGACAGTCAAAACCATATAAACAAGGTACTACTGTTAGATTTGAGATGGACACTAAGGAGCCTTGAGCTCACCCACAACGCATGAAACATGACCATCTCTGCCTATCTATAAACGTATTTCCTGAGGTGTAACAAAGTTCACTGCAAACCACAGCAAGTGAAGAAATAAACGTAAAAGCCATTTCTCCCAATATCCCAGTTCAACACTGCTCACCTGGGAAACCACTAAAATGTCCTGATCATTGAATGTACACAGCACGTCATACAGGAATTCCAAAATGGATAATAAATAGTCAAAAGAACGCTGTGCACAATAACTGGATTGAAGTACTGTGGACAGCACGCACCTCAGGGAAACTGTAAAACTGACAAAATCTTGTTCACCTCTTGAGTGAGGTGCCACTATGCAGTAGTGGCATTGATTATAAATCTTCCAGATGCTATGTCAGCTCACAGATTATGTAAGATTTCTTATTCTGTCAAGGAAAAAAAACAGAAAATCCACTTTCCTTCAGATTCTTCATTATAGCCACAGGCTCATGGGATGGAGTCAAACCATGGGAAAGGAGATTAAAAAACCATAAATGCACTAAAAATTACTCCTTGATGAAACATAAAGAAGCATTTATAATACAAATATATTGAATCACAAAATCAAACTAGGACTTATTTAAAGAGTAAGTAGTACTAACAACTGCAGCAGACTAGAAGCTTCCATAATGAGTGTGAACCTCAGGGGAAAAAAGTGTAGAAATGTTTTCCAATACTTGATATTTTCTAGGTATGAATCAGTAGTTATAGATACTACAAGAGTTCTGAAAAACTATTATTAAGGCATGTCTCCACAATCTAATGAACAGATAACTGAGAGCTTCCACACACATTTTAAAAACTGTACTCATCTGTTACCTCAGACTGCATGAACTTGCACAGATGATACCTTATCGTGTGTGTTTTATCAGACCTATCCGAGCAACTTGTATTATTCACCTGCCTGAAAATCTACCAGAAAGTAACAGAATTTACTGCTGTCAGACTTTGCTTTAAATAAACTGAAGTGGGTGCTATGCAGAATCACTATTCTGCCAAAACTGTAATAGAAGTAATCTCTCAAACTATTCCCCAGTTAAGTTTGCTGGATTTTCCTCTGGAGGCACTGAAATCCACAACAGAATATTACCATGAAATCTACTACAGAATGCTATAGAGCTGTAATGTCAAAAGATTGGTTTGTCCAATAAAAGTTCCTTTTCTTCAAGAACCTTAAAAACTGCAGATGGTTCTCTCTTTAGTCCCTGCACTGAAGAGCAGCTATCCAAATAAAACTTGCAAAGAAGTAATCAGATGTCCATTTAAAGATCTGCCTTCTTTGCATGAAGTCAGAAGTGTTTCTAGCTCTTGTAACTGAAGCCATCTTTCTTGCAAAACAATCAAGACCAGCCAACACATTCCAAGGAAATACAGTGAGGTTATCCTCTATGTGACTTGTCTGAGTTTTCTGTTTACTAAATAAAATCCCTACAAAAAACCATCACTCTCATAAAGCATATTATGTCTGCAAAATATGAGAAGCTTTAACATGAAATCTAATAAATATCTTAAAGGTTTTACTCTTATCTGAGTTTTTGGAACAGAAAGACATTCATCAGAAAAAGAACTCTCTAGTACGAAATGCAAGAAAGCAGAGGTTTGGGGGAGATGCCTGGAGGAGGTAAAGGGAGGATAATGGACAAAAGCATTCAATTTCTCCTACCACTTCTAGCGGAGATAAAACAGTACTGCTCTTCTTGGGAAAGATCACTCTTTTTTGTTGTTTTGTTGAGCCATCAGATACATGCTCTAGTTTAACTGGAGTGTTGAAGCTTCACTGACATCTGGGAGACTGCTTAGAAAGAGACTCAAGGGAGGTACAGAAATACTAACTACTCCTAGTGTGCCTTAATTCCCCATGTTCTGCATGCATGCAATGGAAGGAGAGAAGATCCTCCAGTGGGTGACAGAAGGTGGCTGTAGTTAGGATCCTGCTCTGAACCGCCCTCTAGAGGAGTCCCTCACACTGATACCCAAGGAGACAGATTGGGAGGGCAAACTAAAACTGGCCTTTTTGGATACTCCCCTTGTACTGTAATATGATACAGAAACCAGACAAAGAGCAAGGACTTATTTGGATCCAAGAAAAATATATGAAGGGAAAGTACCATATACCAGAGTCAATACCTCATATGAATGAAACACATAAAATACAGAAATGATCTGCAACTAAAATGGAGAAAGGCAACAGCCAAACATCACTGCTTCAATTGTTTCCCATTAAAGGTCTGTCAGCACAATAACCAAATTAAAGTAAAATAAGATTAAGTAACAGGTACTTGGTATCAGAATCCTCTCAATTCATAAATCAACAGCATTCAGCCATCAAGAGTAGAAAGACTGCTGACTAGCATTTCAAAGTACCACAAAAATCATCAATGAAAGGAAGCTGGGATCAGTCAAGTTATATTATAAACGCTTCATGACACTGCTTGAAAAACACACTGACAAGCACAACCCAATGTCATATACTGTTATTATCCCTCATAGGTTTTCCCTAAAAAAAACCAAAAACAAACAAACAAAAAACAAAACAAAACAAAAAAAAAAAAACAAACCACAGCTGTTTCTTCTTCATGATGGGATTCTAACAACAGCTATTAATTTTCATTTACTGGCTTTCACATCTCTTTTGTTCTAACCGGGTTTCTCATACCACACTTCTTCCTGCAATAGCCACCCACCTTCCAGCAGTGCATTAGGCAGTGCAGGTAACACCCATTACGGGCTGCTCCTTCTCTCACACTGTCCCTAGGGAAGAATATAGAGCACACCAAGCAGAGTGCTTTGGCACAGCTCTCTGCAAGCAGGCATTAGCCATGCACCAGACAACAAGGACATACAGACTGTCTGTAACTGCTTAATATGCAAACAAGATGCATATAGCACTTCAAAGTAAACACATGGCTCTTAGCACACCTACCCCAAGCCTGCAGCTAGGAGAAAGGATTTGTAAAAAGTAACTGTCAGACAAATGAAAGCTGCTGGAAGCATGGAAAGCAGAAAAGCACCAGGAAAAGTGAGTTAAGAAAGAATGAGCAAATCCTGAGGGAGAAGGATAAAGTGTTTGCACTTAATTCAATAACAGCCTGAAGTCCATCCAAGGTATTACAAAAGAAGGAAACAGCATGGCAGATTAAAAGTAAGGGAAAATTATTTTATCCAGAGTCTTTGACCAGAAAGCAGTAAAAACACTGAAAAAGAAATCTAATTACATTGAAAGATGACCAGGGGAGGAGAAGTCATGTTCACTGTCTAGTTTGGGGAGGGAGAGTGTGGGAAATGTAGGAGAATTTCCTATTTAGAAGGGAAGGTTTAGAGCAACAAGGATGAGAACAGATTTGGAAAGTGTCAATGCTTTAGAGTATTTTAATAGCAAATCCCAGTACAGCCTGCTGTCATACAAGCTAACATATCTAAATAACATCTGAAAAGTAGACTCAACAGTAATCTTTACTCAGGAGCTTAAAAGTCCTCTTAACTGAATACAAATTTTTTTATTTAAGCATTTGTAGCTTCCTCTTTATACAGTTTGAATATTGCTCTTTATTTCAAATATTTATTAGAGATTTCAGTAATAAGAATCAGTGTAAGAGTTTCCCCTCCATTTTCAAATATTTTAAGGTCAATTACAGCCAAATTACTAAAAAAAAAAAGTCTTTAAGACTAATAGTTTCCTTTCAGAATGTTGCATTTTCAGAACAAAGCAGACTCTTCCATGTTGTAGCTTTATATGCACTCAATACATTTCCAGTTATAGCCCAGTTATCCCAGATGAGATGTTCAGAATGCAAAATTATTGCTAAAATAACCACATTTTCCAAGAAAGGGTTTTATGAAACAGCGTCTTGGTACTCTTTTGTTCTAATCAGGTTTCTCATACCACATTTATTGTAATACCCAGCTACCTTCCAGCAGTGCATTAGACAGTGCAGGTAACACCCATTACGGGCTGCTGCTTCTCTTTCTCCCTAGAGAAGAATATAGAGCACACCAAGCAGAGTGCTTTGGTACAGCTCTCTGCAAGGAGGCATCAGCCATGTGCCAGACAACAAGGACATACAGACTGTCTGTAACTGCTTAATATGCAAACAATATGCATATAGCACTTCAAAAAAGTGGAAGTAATAGACATACCTTAAACATACTAAAGTTAGTTTTATAAACAACATATAATATAACCAGCAAATGCTATATGCTTTAGTGCCAAACAGATAAAATCATTCGTGTCATAACTTTGATGCTATCTTTTCAGGAATTTCTCATATCATGACAGGTGAGCTCAGTAAATGACAGAGTATACATTCCTAAAAAAAGAATTCGTTAAAAAAAAAAAAAGATTCTGAAGACTGTCTAAGATGCCTTTCATCACAAGAAGTTCTGAATCACAGGAACTAGTAGTGACTGAAACATCTTTAAGAAGTGACAAGCCACCAAAACAATCTTGACAAACAACAATTGTTTAAGCGCTTGACACCACAAAATAAAGGAAGTTTTACTACCTAGGTAAAAACACAATTCTTTTATTCTGCCTCCTATTTATTTATTTAACCTCCTACATGCATAAACCTGTTCTGGAAGAAGCATCTGACTCTGACTCCATACAGTCCTTGACTTCTTAAAAATAAATAAATAAATAGATACAGCACAGGCCAGGTTAAGCCTCACATCTTTGCACTGGTCAGTGGTACTGACGGAAAACAACAGCAGTGTTAACATAACAGGGCAAAACTATTTAGCATATGAGATAGCTCAGGACATCCTCAGAGTTTATGCTGGTAAACATCCCTGCTTATTTCCACCTGCCTCCCAAAAAAAGCAAGCATGGGTTCATATTCTCAAGATGGCTGAATGAAGATAATATATATTCATCCCTCCTAACCTGAAGGCAGCCACTAAAACCACTTATTTGCTTCTTAAACACCAATTGGCCCTGGAACAGCTCAAATTAAAACAGTAATTGAAATACAAACAGCTTTGTTTCCATCAGCATCTCTTCCCATTATTTTAAATTAATAAAATAAGAGATAGATTACACTAAACACCAGGCTAACATTCTGCACCCATGCACAAACATTTGGAGAACTAATTGCAAAAACAGTTGCATATATAAATAAGTACAGATGAATATGTAAATATTACCTTGAGTTGAAGGAAGAGGATGCTCCTGTGGCTTCTCTTGTGATAAAAGTCCCAGGTAGCTGAGAACTACATATTTCGTTTCATAGTGAAATCCTACAGGCACAGCAGTAGAGGACGCCATCAGGTTGCCTTGCAATGCCGCAGTGCTCTTACGGGCAGTGCTCTTACGGGCCACGAAGGGTTTTCTCTGGGTAACTGAGGAAGACTGTAAGGAAAGAATAGAGCATTTTGTTTGTTTTTTGCAAGACAGCAATAGGTCATGAACTCATACATAACAAGGAATTATGTAATGATTGTGAAGCAATACCGAGGTTTTTGTCCTGATATCCTATGCATTCTTATTTTAATGAGAACCGTGCAGAGTAAAACCAACTGCCCCCCAGCCCAGCACCCTGCCTGCTGCCAGCAGTGGCATTTCTCACTCCTGCTTGGCATACGCACTCTCACATTAAAGCAAATTGAAGAGTTCCTCACCATGTGTCTGCTTCCTAATGCCTCCCAACTCAACCGCACACAAAAATACCCATGTGTTAATGCAAAGAGGCTTTGAAGGATTCTTAAGACTTAGTTAACTATAATTTGAGGTAAAAAGACAGGTTCTGAGGAGTCTCTTCCCTCCAATGAGTATTTTCCCAATTCTCTGCTTTCTCAGATTCTCTATTATGACGCTTAAAAATTTTAATGCAGAAAGAGTGACCACAATTGCCTCTAATTCACTTTAATGTTCCAACAGCAATGGAAAACATATGGTCAACGGAGGAAATTCCACATTTGTTGTAGGGACTGGAAGCACAGATGGTTGTGTGTCCTGGATTTCTCACCCAGACACTAACACTTACAAAACAGAAATCCATACCTAATGGCAACATCTGGCCAAAGAACTTCCTTGTTTTACTCTAATTGCTTTGTCACTTTTTTCAAACATCCAAATAAGAACAGCAGGAAAAACTAAGGTAGAGAGAAATTAAAAACAGCCATAAAGGACAAGGTAAAAAAAAGAAAAAATATCAGAAAACAACATGGAAGCAGGCAAAAAGCCATACAACAGATTGAAAGGAAGTTTCAGATTAATCAGCATCTTTTAGCTCTTTATATTAGGAACAGCCTGGATAACTACTTTGAACACACAATCTACTTGATGAATCAAATAACAATATTTATAAGCTCTCAAAATTAACTTCTCCATCACTTCAAAGAGTCATTCCCAAACAAGTAGTCCACTCTTGGCTCTCAGAATGGATGTCTAACTGAAAGGCATGCAGAAAAGTTCATGTTACAGAACAGTCACTTAACAGGTACTGAGGGAGCTAGGCAATTTACTAGTATGAGAGTGCAGTTACATTTAGAAGAAATATTTAAACCAAGATTAAAGCTTAAAGGAGTTTGAATGAGAAAAATGCTATATACAAGGAATAGGAGTTGGGACATCTCAAGAGGGTTCCTGATTACATTGGAAATTTCTTGAGACCGAGAAAGAGAAACAGGTCCCCAAATCAAAGCATGATCAACAACAACAATAACAACAATAATAACAACAACAATAACAACAATAATAACAACAACAATAATAATAATAAACAGAGGAAGCAAAAGAAAAGCATCAATCTGTCTAGCTGTGCAACATGCCTGAGCTAACTTCTACCCTTCCTCCTCCCTGGAAAGGAATTCAGATTAATAACAGGACAACTGGTTCCTAAGGATAAACAGAACTATAACTGCTGTGGCATGGTCACTGTGTGAGTAGGTAGCTTCGCAAAGAAAAAAATACCCATTGAACTAAAAGCTGTAAAGGGAAAAGAGCTGGTGTAAAATTGGCTAAGCGTTCTTTTGTTAATCTTTAGCAACTCTAGTTTCTGAAACTCATTCAGTATTGAAAACAGGAGAGGACTCTTTCATAAAGACCATACTCTGGAAGCTCTGCCTCTTGCCATGTATTTCAAAATGCCTGTAAACCTTTACCAGAAAGATTTGATTGAGTCTTTGCTATGGCTTGAACTGAAGTAATGATTTATATACCAAGGAACAAATGTTGACACTTTGAGCCAACACTCATCCCTTTTCCCTTGGAACAGTAATCCTACATTTATGTTGCCTTTTCCGTCCCAGAGTGCTCTAGAGGCAAAGTATCATGCTTCAGAAACGTAAGAAATTACAGCAGAGGACAAGCACAGCTTTTGCACAATACACAGTTACCCTTCAGCCACTTCCACAAACTAAGACTTTCATAAAGCCGGGAGATTTGAAAAAATAACTGCTCAGAAGACTCTAGAATTCTTTAACAATAGATCTGCTCTTCAGACCAGATCCCCAGATGCCATCACCACATTACATCTTCACAACACCAGGTGTGAAAGATGCCATTCACCAAAAAGCAAAAGCTCCCCAGAAAGTTTCAGTTCTTGTTTCCACAGTCCTGAAACTGATACGCTTCTCACAACACCTACACAGCGAAGGGAGCCCTTCCAGACAACCTGAACTGATCTGTCCTGAAGGAATCGGTCTGTTGGATGGTCCAGAGACATCCAGACGCTACACTGTGGATCAAAGAACAAGTCTGAATATGGAACAAAGGTTACTCCTCTAAATATAATTCCAAATCAACACAGAAAATGAAAGAAAAAAACACAGTTGATCAAAACAAGCATGAGACTCCATACCAGCACAGTGATCCATGTGCAACAGCAAGGACTAATTCATTACAATTTCAGCATGCTTAGCACAGCACTTCTGGAGGGAGGAGGGGAAAGGAAAAAAACAATAAAAGAGAATCAGACCACAGCTTATTTAAATAGTGGTTAATGTTTCCCTGGGAAAATAATTAAGAAAAAAAGCTTTGTATGAAAAAAAAACTAATTACTTCGGTCAATATATTATGAGAGAGAGTTTTATATTGAAATGACATGGAAACTTAAGAACTTGAATGGAAGAAATACCTTCCAGTTCACTGTCAGACTGCAAATGCACTTCAGAATCACTGGTCCTCCTCTGAGAGAAGCCCACAGCACAGCAACTGAATTACTCAATTTGAATTGTGAATGACTGTTCTTGTTTACAAAAAAAAAATAGAGAAATATTGACTCAGATACTGTAAATATCTCAGAAAAGGCCATTTTTCAGGAATGAGCAGGATTAAAAAAGGACACGCAGCTTGAGAGACCAGATCAGAGGAAAGAGAGCTTTCCACTACAAGAGTAAAATGAAAGAGAGTCCAGAAACTGAGAGAGTAAGACAAACGCTTGTAAGGGAGATGTAATGGACCAGAGGAAATAAGGTATAATACAAACTACCTAAGCCTCAAAAGCTAGGGCAAGAGGGTTACTTCTGGTGTAACAGATTCACTGCAATAATGTTGCCTCTCAAAAAGCTACAGAAATCAAAATTATCGCCAATTACTCCCTAAAAAAAAATTTCACCCTTCTCAATTCCTGCACCCTTGGGAGAATAAAAGGCTACACCTATTGAAGCTTACTTAGCTTGCTACTCCTCTGACCCTGCTGCCACTTGTTTCATGTGGGCTGAGCTGCTCAACCAACCTGAGGAGTTCCAGTCAGACTGACATTTCCTCATGCAATCTGTCACATCCTAATCCACAGAAGAGTTATATGTTAGATAACAGGCAACGCAAGTCTCCCAATGAATCCAGTGAATATAATCCCTTAGCGATGGGGCTCTGCTATGCTTTAGTCCTTACCCACAAAATCCTAGCATGCATCATTCAACAGACAAAACGCAACAGCATTATGATACTGCCAGCTGCCACCAAGATCTACTGCGCATCTATTTGACTGTTGCAGGTCAGAGACTTGCCTTTTGCATTTATAGCTGTAGCATTACAAAGTATTTTGCTGCAGGTTTATAAAGAAAAGAGTAGCTGATATTGCTACCGATTTCTAATGCTCTAAAAACACAGGTCCAGAAACAACCATGCAGCCACTGGTTGCCTTCTTTTTACAAATGCCACCACCACCATGACCATAGTTAAGTCCCACTTGACAACTGAGTCAATCTAGGGCTGCATGCAGTTCCCAGCTACAGCCCAGGTTACCAAACCCCACTCACCAGCTACAAACTTAATCATCCTAGACCCACTGCTCTAGCAGAGTACTTCCTGCTGCTGGAGAATTATTTCAAAACACGCATGGTCTCAGTCAGCAAGTGTTCACCCAAGCACAGACAGGGAGATTTAGTGAGGCAACAGAACAGTAGCACTGGAGTTCAAATCATAGGGCAGTGTGCCACCAATACATTCACAGGTTTGGGTCATCCTCTTGATACCAATCTCTGCAACAGGTAACCATTCTCAGTTCACTCTAACCTACAGCCTTACATTTATATGGTGCTCTTTATCCAAACATACCAAATTTCAAGGACTTGCAGGTCTACAAAACCACACCCTATATCAACAAGATGGAAAATATTCAGGCACTCTGCAACCTTACCAGGCAGCTTCTGTGAGGATTTTAGATGAGCCTTGCGTGTGAGGACTAGTTTAGCCTTGCAGCAGTTTGTCTCTGAAAACACTTCACATAACAGGTAGGACTTTCCAAGGCACCCAATTGCGATCAAGTTGGAAGATAAAATCTTCAGAGTACTTTTCCAACAATATATTGCAGTATGACTACAAGATTGTTTTTAATAAACTGAGAACTACTGAGTTCAAACATATCAATTCCTACTGGAAATGAATCAATATTGCATCCATTACTGATCCTCTAGTGGCACTTAATGGACAGAAATACTGGAAAACACAATAGGAATTTATCTGGGTAGTGGTTTTAGCTGACCTTAGAGGGAAATGTAATTAAGCAAGTATTCTAGGCAAATGGTTTGCTTTTCCTTTTAGGAAGAAAAAGAAAAACTGTATGAATTATCTACTGTAAAGGTTCTCCACCTTTTCCAGCTTTAAATTGTCTCACCACAATATTAAATCATTACAAACCCAAACCCAGCTTTTATTAACAAGCCTTCATTCACTTTCTTTTTTAATTTGTCAAGTGCTACTTGGATTTGAAAGCGAACAAGAGGACAGGGAAGCAAGGCAGAAGCCCTGGGCTGGCTTTAAGTTTCAACAGCGCCAGACAAACGCAGAGACGAGCAGCCTGCGAGTAACCTACTCAGTTACTACGGCGATGAATGAGA